GCTGGCCGGCGGGGGCAAGAGACCCCAGCCCAGCCCTGGCGCGCTGTCCGCAGGTGCCCCTGCAGTGGCTGCACGGGGGATTCCCCACCGCCGAAACCGCTCGGGTGCTGCGTGCCATGCCGCCCATGCACGCAGAGGAGGGCAGCTGCGGGGTGGGAAAGGAGGGAGCCAACCTGATGAGCAGAAACACCCACCACCCCCCGCTTCTCTTACGCACAGACACAGTAGCTCTGCTGTGTTTCTGCAACGTCCACTTTAATCCAGCGCTCATCAGTTAAAATAAACTGCCAAACCGAAGGCCCGGAGTTACGGTCAGAGACTTTTTTGAAGCCCTGCAAGAGACCCCAACTGTTTCAGCTTCCTCTCCCAAATGTCAGCCTCGAGCCATTCTTGTCGGGCCGGCGGAAGCATGTGATGTGAAACAAAAGCCAGGAAATAAGACTTTCTGAATAAACATTTATTTGGTGAGAAATACTTATGATTTTTGGCAGAGAAATGTCAGAAACCTGAAGCCCTATGTATAGCATGCCTACAGAGTGTAATTTCTATTTAAAGGGAAGTTGCAGCTGTCTGTAGCTCTTAATGAAGAATAATGCCTGGGAATAAATTACTGCCATTTGTGAGAGACATTTCTCAAATGACAGCAATTCTTCCCTTTTTCCCCTCTCCCTATAAATACCGAGAGGCACGCACTGGGCAGTTGTTTAGAAGAACGGACACACACAGCTCTCTTTTGTCGGCAGCCTGGTAATTTGTGCAGCAAACCATGAAGTGGTTTAGTATACGGACACCAAAGCAATTCAAAAGCAAAGACATTCAGAAACCTTAAGGCTGCACGTGCCAGACCTTCCCGTTGCTCTTCCAAGGTGTGCACAGCTCATCACTGTTCGAACAGACACCGCACACCACTTCCAGCCCGGCTACAAACCCAGCACTGAGGCTCAAGGCATGCGACGGCCGCTCACAGAACACCACTGTAAAAGTCTCTAACGTTCAATTCAGCAGCCGCAGGAGAAGGTGATGCGTAGCCGACAGCGTGGGCCGGGGCCGTTGCCAGCCTCGCCAGGCAACTTGGGAAGCGGCACGGACATCAGCTCCAGCAACCATCGCTCCCAGCCCCGACACAGGCCCAGGCGCCACGAAAAACAGTCGGTGGGCAGAAGAGGACGAGTACGGATGAGATGGGACCAGGGTGAGGGGAGCAAGGAGGGCCAAGGAGCAGAGAAAGGAGGCGGCTGCTCAAAAATGTGACGTGACCAGGGCTAAGCCCTGTGCGGCCACAGTCCCCAAGACCCTCTCCAGGGTCAGCCCCTACGGAAGCAGGTTCCCCCCGGAAGGTGGGCATGGAAAGCCTGCCAGAGTGAGGAGCGTGGATGTTTACTATCCTGCCATCTGCAGTTTGCCCAAAATAACAGCTACAGATACGAGATCAGCTGAAGACATGTCAGTTATTGACACATACTGGATTTAGAGATTTATTTTCCATTTCCCACAAATCATGCCAGAGGTTTTCACATAAGCGCGCAAAAAAAAAAACAAACAAGTGAAGAAATGCCTGTGAGTGAGGAACACGAAGAGTTTACTCATTGCTCCTGTCAGAATGTGTTCGTGTTTGTGCGGCTAGCACTCCAAAAAAGCTGTGGCGTATGTTTTCAGGATGGAAAAAAAACCACAGGACACCCAAATCCTACCAGAAAATTACAAAACTGTATGCTGGAATTCGCAGGGTACCTTCCTGATCAGCAAAGGAGCCTTGCCTTGCTTCGTTTTCACCCCTCACTAAGCGAAATAAACGTTCCTCCTTAACGAATCCTCCTGACATCCCTTTTTCTCTCTGCAAAAGAGGAATATGGACTTGATTTGTACCAGCTCTGCTATTCCAGAAATGTGCTTCATCCAAATGAGGAGAGCAGGAGAAAGGAAGCGAGAAATTTGTACTGTTTAGTAAACAGGCAGTATCTAGGTGGATACAAGACTCTCCTCCCAATTTACTGCTCCTCTCCCTCCTCTCGCCCCCCTTCCTCTGAAATTTGCCTGGGTGGCAGAAGGAGGAGGTGGAAGGGATGACAGCAGCTACCACTTGCAACGGGAAAGGTCTGATCGCCTCCCGCACATCTTAACGCAACAACACCCTGCAAACACACAGGGGAGAGAGAACTGTGTTTTTCAGTAAAGTCACTGTATGCCGGCATTTCCTTGCAGCAGACACACCATCTCTCCTCATCTCTGGTATTCTTGTCTCCCCGAGAGGACGAAGGAAAGAGGGGAGCGGAGGAGCCTGGCCAACCGCCTCCTCCTCGCAGCACTGTCCCCAAGCACAAGCCAGGTGGCAAAATATGTTCTCAAGGAACTTCTAAAGAGCTCTCCGTCACCTACGAATGACTCCCCGAGAGAAACCAGTCCTGGACGCCAGGGTGAAAGCCATTCTCAAGAGCGCTTTCTTTCCATCCATACCTGGTGAGCAGAATGCTGCTGCTTCTGCACAAACCCGGGCCTCATGAGTGTAATTCGGGGTTTTGGCACCATCGCGCTGTGCTTTAAGCGGGCTCATTTTAAACCAGTTAGGACAGAGCAGAATGTAACAATCACACCGACAGCACCATCGACACATACTCTGTCCCCTGTAATGGATGCTGATTGCCTCCTCCTCTCCTGCAGCTTATCTGGCTGATCTGGCACACCACACAGGACCTGGGGAATGCTCTCCTCGGCATCAGGTGGTGCTGCTGTTGCAATCAGTGTAGGCGATTGCAACATCTTGAACAAACATCTCCTGTTATCCCAACAGCTTTGCATGCTAGGATAGTTTCTTATATTATTATCGTTACTACTATTATTGTTATTTAAGGCTGCCATCCTCTGCTGCAGGATGTCAGCGTGCAAAGTAAATCCCTGTGGTTTCAAAGTAGTCTTTCAAAGTGTGGGAATAAACTGATACAGCGACGTCTGCTTAGATACATAGACAGTGAGAAACTGCAGGTCTCAGAGGCCCCTTATTCATCTCAATGAGTTACTAACTTGGCAGCTCAGTGGTACTAGTAACTAACAACTCCAAATGTCAGCTTTGTCAACTATTCCACTGTAGATCAAAGCATGTGCAAAAGGGAAGAGACGATGAAGATTTTTCAGCGTCTTCCCTAACATTCATTTTGCAAGCAACTCTTGTGAAAGTGGCACTGCTTAAACTCCGTCTCAATCTGCTTCCCAAAGCCTGAACCCAAAAGCAAAAGCAGAGCAAAAGAGGGCATCCGACTTTCAGGGAGCTAGAAGGCATGCCCAGCAGTCAGAAAATATATTTATACTTACTAACTTTATGGGAAGTGCAAAAACTAATTTGCTCAAACTGGGAGAATCTGTAGCTGTTTTATTACTACTAACATCTTTGAAGGACCACTGCATACTCTGGGCGTAAGTACTAACTTACCAAATTTTGAAATTCACAAGGTTCCTTCTTAAGACAAAAATAAAGATTATTCTCAAACCCGGCAGGCAGAGAATTCTTGTTTTCCTCTGTTTGTGACTATGTTTACATTTGATTTACCCAGAAAAGCAGTGGGTTTCATGCGAAAAACAATGAACATAAAAACATTTATGCCTGCTCTTAAGCCATCCCTCGTGGGAATAGTTTCTTTTATTACATGTCGCAGCTGGATCAGGATTTCTATTGAAAATACTCAAACTAATATAACAAACTGATCAAAGCAATAGGAGTTTGAAATACCAGGTGCAAATGACCATATTTCCATTCCTCTAATCTGAAAGTGGCCAAATAATTTCAACCATTGTATGAGCATGTATAAAACTCCTAAATCTGACCTGTAAATTGTTGAACTGTTATCCATAATATTTTTCATTCTTGTTAGGCTACACAGTCACAAGGCCTTTAAATGCATGCTTATATATGTAACTACAAAACAACAGTAATGTGTTAAATAACTGTAGCAGTCCAAGTAAAAGAAACCCAGCATCCTTCCTCGGATAACACTATTAGAGACATTAAAAGAATGAAAAAGAAGACGATGACATTAAAAGAAAAAAAAGAGAGAGGGAGAGAAATTCAGATCTGGCTTTGCAGCCCAACCCAAACACACCTGTCTGGTTTCAGCAGAGCAAAAAGATGCTCAGTACGTCACGGGGATGGGAGCAAACGCTACAGTGCAGACACCGCCCCCCAGAAGACACAATTGCAAGTACACGTGATCGCTGCTAGGAACTCACAACATTCACTATGTTCTTCTTCGGGGAATTCTGGATTATCCTTTCGCATGGAGATTTTTCTGAAGCTGCCGGATTGCTCACAAGTCCTCACTGGCTTTCCTCTTTCAAATACAGTAAGATAGAGCTGTAAAAGAACAGCAAAACAAAGTAAGAAAGGAAAGCAATGAATAAAAAGAGGAAAACCCATAACGCTGTTTAGCAAATGAACAACAGATTCCTACACCTCCTTGAAACAAATGCATTTTTAATGAGCTCCTAGGACGGAGATTCCAGTACAGGGTAAGCGTATGTCGAACACCGATCGAGGATAGTAAGAGTCATTTGCTCTGTGCTTCTTATTATGAACCATTAAAATGCAGTTCAGAGTTGCTGAGGCAAATACATAATTACAGTAGTTCTTGGATACTTCTGTTGCCATAACAAGAGGAAGAAAAATCTACTCGGATTTGTTGTTTTGAAAAGTGTCTGCAAACAAAGCCCACGGTGTGCAGAGAGATCCTCACAGAAGATTTTTGTTCTCAATGAACTCCTCTAAGGGGACGCCAACAGCTATCTATTTCTGTGGTTGTCTGTAATATTGCAACAGAGGAGTACTGAAACCAAAAATACACACACTCGCCATTCCTCAGTAGGAAATATTTTTCACATCTGAGATTTTTAATATTGTGCGGTTCTTTCATACTTATTTTTTTGACAGAATTTCTTTGTGGACCAACTCTTCATTTTTTTGACCTACTGAACAAGGTATCTGACTATCCTCAGCCTTTTTACTGGGGTCTGGGAAAAATGCTGTGCTACATTTTAAAGTGAATCCCCCACAGAATACTTAAAATAGAGCGTGTATTTCCACAGAGCCCACATTGAACATTTTTTCCTTCATCCAGGTTCCAATGGTCTACTCACGCTTCCTAAATTCTTAGTTTCACTTCATGCCACAAACCTTTCCTATCTCCTTGACACAAGGCTCTTCAAACATTTCACATGTAACTTCAGGACTCATGCACACAAATTCCCATCCTTCCAGCGCTAAGGTGGAATCCATGTCCCCAAACCAAAAACATGTGCAGGACAAAAGTCTACACCTGAGACAGTGCAAGCTCTCTTTACTCTCCATGGAGGAAACGAGGCAATCTAGAAAATGATTAATTTGACCTATCTTAAGCATCTGCTTTAGGACAGAATGAATCACTCTAGAAAAGTCTGCTTCTCTCCCTCCATAAAGTGAGTCTAGACACTGAGCTCAGACTAGATGGCCGTACACGAATGCAGATGAATCTCACCTTACATGAAGGCAGGAAACCAGTCAGACAGACGGACAAGAGCAGTTCATGGGTGAAGAGCAGAGGAAAGCAACTCAGTGGTAGTGGGCAGAGGAAACTACTCAAAAAAGTTTACAGCCCTCAGACAGTCTTAGCTGAACATATAAAGCAACAACCACAAAACCTTCCAAAACCCAAACCAGTATTTGCTTAGCTGATCCAGCTTTGGTGTAAGAATCATAGAATCATAGAAAGTTTGGGGTTGGAAGGGACCTCTGTGGGTCATCTAGCCCAACCCCCCTGCCGAAGCAGGGTCACCCAGAGCAGGCTGCACAGGACCGCATCTAGGTGGGTCTTGAATATCTCCAGAAAGGGAGACTCCACAACCTCCCTGGACCGCTACTGGATTTACTGGCTGAGGCTAAGTCCTCACAGAGCAGTGTCCATGAACATTTGCCATCTCCTCCAGCTGGCTGGGACTCTTCATGGTGCGCTGGCAACAGTGATGATCATCAGCGTCAGATACACATCTTTGTCCTCTCCCTGATGGATTGTAGCATTGCAAGATACCTGTTAGAAAACCCTTCCTGGCTTAAGAAACTCCACCCTGGAAGTACAGCTCCTGTGTTACTGCAACCTCAAGATCCTTCAGATACCCAGGTCTTGGCCAAACTTCCAGGACTTTGGTCAACAGCTTCTATCCTATACTAAAATGGGACTCTGCTGCTTAACTGACAGAGAAGCACACTGTCTGACATGTTCTCACAAGCTTTTTAACTTTCGAAAGAAGATCAAGAAGACAAAAAAACCCAAACCCTTTTTTATGTCAACCCTCAACATTTTGCTTAACCCAAAACCATTTATTTTCAAGCCATTTATTTTTTCTTTAAATTATGTGAATCTCAAGATTCAAAAAAAAACGCACCCCAAGCTCAAAATACTCAAAATGTTTTGCTTCTAAGTGTCAACATTTTGTTTCTAAGCGTAGAAATGAAACATTTCAGCATTTTCAAAATTATTTGGTTTTCTCCCCAATAATTTGACGATCCAAAAATCTCCTAAAAATTCCATTTTTTAATCTTCATTATTTCATCCCAAAATTCACCAAATGCCTATCTCTTGTCATTCAACATTCAGGGAAACCCGAAAATGGATTCTAAAGGACTACGAGAAAACATTTCACTTTTATGGCAAAATTAGATGGCTTCCAATTATTTTTAGTAAGCGCAGGGAAGTTTACTCCATGCGTATCTTGTCTCTCACACCAGATTTTGCAGCTCCCGCTTGCACAGACTCCTCTGAGCTTCCCTGGAGAGTCAGCTGTATGTAATACTGGGCTGAAACCCACCGCACTCAGTGGAAGTCCCCCCGCTGACTTCAACCAGCAGGATTAGGATTTTGGTTCTGTTGAAGTTAAACAAGGCTCCGATTGCCTACATCAGGGCTCCGATCACTGAAACAGGAGCAAGTGTTGTGTGCTAGCTACGCAGTTACCTTGCTATCCGTCCGGAATTTGTCACGCAGACCCCTGCCAGCGCGTGGACATGGGAACAAGTCACAAGCAGCATCTGTGCAATACAGCGCAGTGATGCTCTGCGCTAGCTTTGCTTGCCCATGTACTCCTATTTCATGGGAAAGATGACATGAAGCAAGGCAGCCTACCCCTCCGGGAAAAAAGGGTGAGAGACCTCGTATTTACGCTCGGGTGCCTTCGCACCACACACACAGCCAGTTATTATGGAGCAGATGATGCACCGTAGGTTCACAAGCTAGTTTTATCTGCCACAACTTGCTCATTTGACCTTACCCTTAGGCACTTCTTTCTGCGAGGGGCAAGGCACGACTGCCCGCAGATGTTCCCGGACATTTTTCTACTTAAGATTTAAAGACAATACAGCACAAACTTCACGACGCACAGGGAGACACCTCGCTTCTTGAAGCACAGTCCTTGCCTCAAGAGCAGAGCACTCATTCCCTAATTGGGACAATCTTTTTGCTGTGCAGATCTGATGGGCTGCGATGACGTGCTCTTCTCGGAACACGTGAAAGGGTCGTAACTTGGAGGGACCATCAAGGAAGGCTGGTTTGCAGCACAACCAGGTTTTAACCAGGCTTTGCAACTGAAGTTTCAACATGATCAATGAATCATTATCACATACACAGTTACCCATCACATCTGAGCTATAAATGGGAAGTGTTACGCAAGAAAACCGTTTTTCATGGTCCCACAGCATTATGGTTATTCAAATATCACAGCATAGCCCTGCCTTTGAGAACTAAAAAGGACATCGAGTTGACAGATTAGAAGTGCAATTGAGAGATGAACAGACCTCCAATCAAAGAACATGGAAGTACTTCTTGGGAGTATTTAGATACTAAAATTGGACCCCAGGGCAATCAACAACCAAGAAACACAGTACAAGCGAGCAACTGCAAATTGGCAAAACTGAAAACCAGAAGTCGGCTCTGTGCAATACCCTGTATTTATTCCGAGGAAAGGTCATGCTCTCCATTTTGCTTTGAAGAGCAGACAGCGAGAGATCACTGTTTTTCCAGTCCTTTCCTGCAGGTTTTTAATTGCCATTCCTTGCTGTCTTGCATCATGTAATTTGGTTTTCCTAATTCACAAATCAGCATAAGCTAATAAAACTGTTTAAGAGATGGCAGCGTTGTTCCCAAGTTGTTTCGTTGGTCGCTATTATCCCACAACTAATCCTTCAACTCAAATAAAACTGTAATTCATTTCCTCCTTTATTCTCCCTCCGCATAAAGTAGTTTTAGACAGGTTCAATCCTGCCTCACCGCAAATGGGAAAGGCAAGGATGTATCTTCCTGCAGCGTGTGTGATTTCAATTACCTAATGTGTATATGATCTGTCATGCCAGGAAAAAACTTCTACACTATTTTCAACAGGTTTAGCTGATTTTACACATATAGAAGAGATTGTAGTAGAAACAAAAAAAACCCCCACAAACCAACCAAGAATTAACTATCTTTTAGATTTCAAGTAATAAATGTTTCTCTACACCAGCCATGCCAAACTTCATCCATCTGAAAATCTCCTGACATTTTGTCTAGTGTACAAAAGACTTAAATCACAATTCTGCCTACTTCAAGGCTACAGTGAAGGAATATCACTTTAGCACAAAAGAGGTTTCATCTGCATAAAAGAAGCAGGCATTGCTCTGATTTCTGTTTAGCATTCATTCCTTGTATAAAGCTTGATTCTCCACAGCTTTGTCACGTAAACAAGCACTTCCCATGGCTTTGCATGTGGTGCATAATGAAATGCCCAACTTCACAACACGTTACACCCACTTTGTGCAGGGTGAATAACTGTATCCGGGTGCAAGTGAATAATAAATCAGGTTGTCAGCACTTGGCATATCCTGCAGGTCCTAAACCAGAAAAACAGCATGCAGATCATGGGGCTCAGCCAAGGAAGCAAACTATCCTACCCTGCAATTTGTAGTAGAGGGAAGATGATGTATGTTACCTTCCCCAGCTCTGTGGACACATCAATGGGCCGTCCCAGCCCTGCGCATCTTTCCTGTGTGAATGGCATTTCCATTGCAAGTACTTACTGGGAAAATTAAGTGCTGCAGGACCATCTGTCTGCAAGCACCAGACAGACAGGACCAGCACGTGCAGCTGAAGGGGTAGGGCTGCAGCTCACACCCTCCAGTGCAGGAGCCACTGCTGAAGATGACCGCTATTCCTGCACAACTAACGTGAACTGTTAGTTATCTAGAAATCAGTGTCCCAAGATTTAACCTAAAAAACCACTATTCATCAGTATTTCATCCACAGCAGATATTTTTCCTGACTTAAGGCTCAGGTATCCAACCGTCATTTTAGCATCAAC